CAGCCGTTCTGGGGGGTCTCACCTCTTCCACCAAAGCGCCGCTGTGGAAGGCTAGCACTCAGCTTTTCCCATGACACGTGGTCACAGGCCATGAGACCTGTCTTTGGGGAGTAGGGATGCTGTTGCCACTGCAGCTACGCAGGGACCGGTCCGTACACGCGGTCAGCGCTGACAGCACACAGAGGCTGCAGCCAGCCAGCGCAGGAGGAGGCGGGAGCGGCAGGGGGGCTGTGAAGCAAGGCGCTATTTCTGAAAGGCAGGCGGTAGCGATGCGATGCCGTAAACCCCCTCCAGTCCCTTCCTCGTCCGGGGTTTGGTTGCGTCAGGACTGTGGAGGTGGAGGGCTCGGCCAGGGGCAGTGCTGCCGGCGCACCCTGCAGCGCGGCTAGGTCATCTTCCTGGCGACGCTGGCATAGGTGTGCTCTATCTCCTCGTCCGCGGGACACGTGTGGCTGAACTCATCGCAGGCATAGGCGTTGTTGAGGTAGCGCCAGACGCCCGTCATGTCCGCTGGGATCTCGAAGTCACGGTACTTTTTGGCCGCAATCTGGAGAGGAGAGGAGGAGGAGGCTGAGACTTCCCAGGCCTGGGGAAGAGTCACTCTCCGGCTTGAGGGAGACACAAATACGGGACCCCCAGCCCCCTGTTTTGCATCGCCCCGCCCTGTCGCCCCCGCTTGGAGTGGGTGCCCCAACCTTGGCCCTGGGAGTCAGTGCCGTTACCTTGATGATATGCAGTTTGGGCAGGAGGTTGCAATCAGCCAATGTCAGGTGGTCTCCATCCAGGAATTTCCTCTTGGAGACAGTGATGTCCTCCACACTGTCCTGGTCAATCTCCTCTGGGAGAGGAGTGTTCAGGTAGACATCCAGCCGATGGAACTCCCGCAGCAGGGCCTTCTCGAAATCTGAGGGGGCAGGGAAACAAGCGCAGTCAGCCTGGGCTCTGCCGGGAGCCCAGGGCTGTGCCAGGGTGCCTGAGCCTCTCCCAGACTTTGCCTACAGGGACAAAGCCCTCAGGGCCACACCGGTGGTGCGCAGCACTGGACCCCGGCCAGTCTCTGCTCCCAGGGGACCCCAGCAGCGTCACCCCTTGCTCCCCTCCAAGACCCACTCTCCTCAGCGCCCACATACAGGGCCGTTAGACCCGCGGAGCACAGGACTGCCTTCACCCTCCCTGCCCGCTCCTCTGCTGGCCAAGGAGGCTCTGGTGGGGAAGGCAGCAGGAACCCTGACCTGAGGGCAGGATTTGCCCGCAGACAAATGCATCTCTCCGCGCCCCCAGCATGGCAGTTCGCAGCCCTGCAGCCCCCACCCGCATTTCTTACTGATATTTGCTTCCTTGCGTGGGTTCTTGATGTATGCAGAGAACTTGGCAAAGATGTCACTCCCCACGTCGAAGGACTCCTTGTACTTGGGGCTCAGATGCGGATACCTTTAAAGTGACACTCGTGTCAGCGCAGGCAAGGATGGAGGCAGAGGTGCAGCTGCACGGTCCTCAGCTGCATTGTCTCCCGGGCCACGGTGCCCAGGGCTGGTACTGGAGGATGCGGGTGACGTTTAGCTGGTTGTGGGACAACAGTGGTGCTTCAGCTGACTGCAGCTGCCACCCTGGGAGCTGGTAATACAGCTTGGGTGTTCGCCAAGGGAAAGTCACAGGGCAGAAGCTCCAAGGTGCGGGGACGCTGGTGGCAGCAGAGCCCCAGAGCAGAGATCTGCCTGCAGGCAGCTCTGGCCCAGCATGGGGGCACGGGAGGGGTCTGGGGAAGCCAGAAGCTTCCATGACTTCCTCAGAGACAGACTCCTGTTTGCTGATGCGTCCCAGGGCGCACGGCAAGGGCAGAAACATCCGAGGAGGCGGATGACGAATGCATTTGAAGCTTCCTCTTTTGCACGTGGCGGGAGGGCTTGCAGCTGCGCAGGGCACGGCACGGGCTGGCCTGGCGGGATGCAGGCAGTGCCCTGCATGAGCCCGGGGGGACCAGCCCCTCCGCCGCAGCCTTTTGGGCTAGCTGGGCTGCTGCGCTCAAGCAAGCGCGTTTGCTTTCGCTCCGCTGAGCACACCGGATATAAGCAGGCAAAAGGGGGTCCCACGTTCCCCCTCTGCCTCGGCACTGACTCCCACAGCCAGCTGCAAAACCGCCAGCTCCTGGGGGGTCCCCGCGCCTGCAGGGACCTCCCCGGCTCTCCCTCTCCCCGCAGCCCGCAGCGTTTCCTCCCATTGTTTTCCATCTGACCCGCCAGCCGCCCCGAGGGATGCAGCCCCCCGACATTGCAAGCCCCTGCAGCGCACGGCTCAGGGTGCTGTGTGGGGAGCCAGCCCCCTCCCCAGGCTGCTCTCAGGCACCTCTTAGCACCCTGCTTCGGTTTCCCAATCTGCCGAGCACTACGCAACGCTGCGGCATGCCCACCCGGCCCCAAAAGGGGCAAGGAGCAAGCTTGCAATTACGTGGGTGGGCCCAGGGTCTGCTCCAGGAACTCCTCGATCTTAATGAAGTCTGTTTTCAGCTCCTTGTTGAACAGCAAGAACGGTGGGTTGGTGCCCGGCGCTAAATCTTTCAGCTCTTCAGGTTTCCTAGAGTGGAGAAAATCAGCGGGCTCAGCGCCTGCAGTCTGGCTGCACCT